AAATCTAGTATTTGTCATTGATTTTTACATGATACAATAGTGTCAACGGAAGGGAATTATTAACTCCGAATTTTAAACATCCCTCCGATAAAGAAAAAAACTGTAAAAAAAATGCATCAACACGGAAAGCTCAGACGGGTGGTTATTTTGTTCGCCTTCACTCTCATCATGACCATGATGTTGGTCATGGGACAAGAAACAGCCAAGACCAAACTCTTCAAGAATATGATTTCCCGAACTCAAAATAATCAAAATTATAAAGGAAGTACAAAAATCGGAAGTGTTCAAGATGGAGTTTGGACCAATGTTTTCCAATTATTTGGATTCCGTTCAGCAAATAATCAAACAGATACTGATAATAATCCAAAATTTATTTCATTATTCTATGATGGAATTCATCAGAGAATGAGAATGGATGGAGCTGGTTTGGGAGGCCCTGCAGCTCAACTCTCTTCCACATCAGTTTTGTTTGAAATTTTGAGATATTATATGAATGTTGTGAGTGTTGATTTTTGTATCTTTGAACATTTGCATCCTAATTCTACTGCTTATGGAGCTAGAGTTTTCCCATTCAGTGGAAAGGGTACTGTGGCTGAAGGAGGATTCACTGTTGCCAAATATTCTGGAGCTAAATTGATTCAAAGTAATGCTATTCTTGAACCATCCAATTTGATTAATGGAATGCAAAAGAGAGTTTGTAATGTCTATAATTTGGATGGAAAGTCTGATCTTGCTATTGGTCTTGGATTTTACTTGTTCAATTATCAAGGACCTACCTATGTTGACATGACTTATTATGAAGATGCCAAGACAGGACAACCAGTAAGATTTGAAATGAAAGATTTGGGAGGTTTTAAGGGAATTACTTCTTGGGATGTATTGAATTTCCAATTCTTTAGTGATAAGGATGATTCTGCTAATGTATTTTCCAAAGATTTATTCTACTGGAATGCCAAACCAACTTGTCATTAATAAAATATAACCTGAATTATTTCAGATATCTTACTCTTTTATTTAAGGACTACTTTCTGCTATTACACATAATTGAAATGTTGCTCTACTAGAAGAGCTTTAGGATATTCAAGTGTAAAATTTTACTTGTATGGNGGTTTGTTTTTCATCAATTATCCAACTTGATTATCCGAAAGTTTGAATTTTCTTTAAATAGCTGAAGAATAGTAGAGATCC